ACTCTAGTACAGCATGGACGGTTCCCGTATTCCCTCATTAGAGACAGCATCGGAATGGGGGAAACGCATTGTCAGTACAACCCCAAGCAAGGTTCCTGCTCTGGAATGATTCTTGCAACTTACCTACTTTTGCCAAACTCTTCCTGCTCCCCCTAAATATTCTAATTATTCGACCAGTTTCTCCCTAAAAATTGCCGCCGGGCTGATAGATAGCGAGGAGATAACGCGTGCGGAGCGGGGGAAAAATCAACCACCGGAAAAATTTCCCAGCCAATAACTCTGAGGTATGGTTTTTTCACCACTGCTACGCTGTGGTTCTCACGCTTCTTTTGTTCTTATAATAAGATGGCCTTACAGTTAGATAGCCGCTATAATTGTTTCGGTGGAAAACCAGGATTAGGCGCCCCTACCCTTCGGCGACGGGGGGGGGGGGGCATTTTGCACTTTCGTTGCTTCACTAGTTCCGGTTTACAAGTCTCACTCTGGTGAAACCTGTGAACTCTTGTGAAGCTGGAGCAAGCTCGTCAAGCCATCATGGTAAAACCTGTCAACTCGAGAAGAGGCTGTCTAGATGGGTCGACACGTCGATGGGAAGTGGAAAAAGTGCAAAATGGCCCCGCGCCGAACTGCGCCCAGGATCATACCTCCTGTCCCTTTGCTTCCATATTCACCTTTGATTTCAGTTCATATTCGAAATATTCCGATTATGTGATGCCTAGCACTTCTTGAACCCTTGTTTTCTGCTTCTTCACAGAACAAAACTAAGCCTTCGGAGGGTTGCACGATATTTAGCGATTCTCAAAATTAGCATTTTCCTTCACACCTTCAAGCGAAATACATACGGGGAGGGCCAAAAAAGTCACTTCGACCGAGTCACATATCAGCAAAGTTTTCGCAGCCCAGACAGAGGACGTGGATACGAGTACCAGGGCGGAAGATACCCAAGATGTTCCTCGATAAGCAGGAGCTGGCTCTCGCCCATCACCTTCATGTACACCAAAATATGAAGTCATCTCCAGTCGCAGCCTGACTGGAGAAGACCTTTGGAATTCATGTCACCTCCAAACAGCTGCGAAACTTCTAGTGTATGGAGTCACCATGTAGCTACTGCGCAAGACCAAGTAGGCTAGATCTGAAAGACCTCCAACACAGCTATTCTCCGACAACGTACGCGTCACGGTCTAGCGACATCATTTCATCGCACTCGGCCAAGGCGCGGCTCGTTATCGGTAGGGACCGCGACGTACCTAGGAATGGAAAGACCGATATTTATCTTCGTGGACCCCAGATGAGCTTGAACACATGAAAACACTGGCGGGTTAACATCGAGCAACTTGGGAGAATATCCTCCCCACATGTCGTCGCCCGTACCTTCTTGGAAACTTTGTACTGCTACAGCATTGGGTGCCACCACATGGAATCGAAGGGCGTTGGAAAAACTCTCGCCTACTTGCAATGGAAGGGCTTTGAGTACCTAAAAGCAAGAGTATAATATCTAAGTGGCTGTTCAAACCCCACCTAAAAACCCCCTCAATACCGGGCTTCGGACGGAGTTCGAATAAGGGTGTCTACAGTGGCGAAAAACAATCAACGACCATCGCTGAACCGCACCGAATCACGCGTCGCGCGGCAGAACTCTGCCGACGGCGCACCTCCAGAAGCTGTGCGGAGTATCATTGATTGAGTATTTAATATGCGTTTGAATATTGGCTTCTTAGAAATGTCCGATCAGAATTTAAAGTGTAATTTTAGGGAGCCTCGAAAGGGCAAGGACAAGTGACTTTTTTTGCCCCCCCCCTGTATACCTTCTTAGCGGGATTCGATACAGGCTAAGAGAATGAAGCCTAGATCGCTGATCGCTCCCTTTTTGGATGTGTCATGCATTTTTCTCCAGTACACAATAATAGCGCTCTGCTGAATGTTGTACGGCATGTGGAGCAACTGTGGGCAGGAGGTAAAGCAAAACTTATGCTTTTGCTTCTTGAAGTGAGCCCTTAGCCAGCCGGGATAGTTCAATGAAGGCAATAACTCAACTTCGACTTTCAATCTTCGAACTGTGCGCGTGATAAGCGATGCCGCTCCAAAAAACCATTTCTTCCCGATAGAATTTGATAGCATAAACATGTCGTAAAAAGTCCATCCTATACCCGTATGGGGGAGCTGTACAAGCACCAGTTGAAACTGAAAATTACCGTATCTTAGTCGTGGATTGTCTGTTTCCACTCCACTTTGCTATAGATTTGCTTGCAAATTTCCAGGCATTAGGCCAACCCTTTTCTAAAATAACTCACGGCTAGTGCTCAATGCAAGGTATGCTACATCTCTGTACTATCTTAACCACTAAGTTGATAGGTCAGCCGATTGATTCGGAACCCTGTCTGTAAGCATATCGGTCTTCGATCTGCACGTTTGTCTGCGCGTCCGAAAAAGGTGTCGCGACTGTGATAAGGGAAGTGATAGGAGAAAACGATCGTTTGCAAAATAGAAAATCAGCCGATGTTGCATATCTAACATGGTCTTTCGTTGTGGAAACATCCTCATAATGCTCCGTAGGGGCCTCCTGCACACGCTGGGAAAAGGTGGTGTGGCTGCTGTTTGTACATGAAAAGTGGACATGCTAAGCAGGGAGGTCATTCAGGTCATGGCGCGTTTTTAGTAACGGTTTTTGCATGTGTCAGAGCTCCATACATGACCACACAAATATTCTTCATTTTTGCTACGTTTTCCTAGGATAAAAAAGGAGCAAAAATGTGAAAAGCCAACCCCGTAACATGCAGTAAACCTTTCCTGGAAACCACCCTATGACCAGAAAAACCTCTCCGGTAAGGCTAGAGATGACATGGATTTGTCGACCATAAGAAGGTAGGAGAGATTCGTTCCATCTCCGGTGACTTTGGAAAATTGAAGCACAGGCAACCATCAGCTTTTCTAGAATATGCTAAAGACACCTTTTTTGGTCACGGTCTAGGCGCTGCTATGAGAAGCTTTGACCCAACTGCCCTAAAGCCAGTTACTCACACTTGAGTATGAAATTTCATAAAACTGAAGTTTGTTAGCAAGAGAAGTGATGGTCTAAGCCAAACGAAAGTAACGCGACAATATTATTAACATTAAACCGGCTGCTTCTTAGGCAGACAGACAAGACAATCGCTTAAGTACCCGGGTGTCGGCCATGCCACAGTTTAGAAAGCCACATGCGAGATGTAGTATCCTAAAGTTCGCGGGAGCACCGTGTGCCCATCACTCAATTTCCGCCTAGGCAGCGCATGGCTACAGGAGGAGAGCTGAAGCAGTACGTCGGCCCAGCCCACCTCGTAGCTCCCCTCCCAAAACGACATGGGACACCCTCAAATGTGCTTTACATCTACACGCCCGGACAAAATTTCATTCTGAACTCTGAAACTGCTATCTCACAGTTTTCCTAAACGTATATTTTCTCCGTGGGGCGATGCTCGGCAAATTTACCGATTTGCCCCACTTGTAGGATCGAGCCCACGCCGAAACTATGTGATGAAGGCCGATGTAAGGAGGGTGCAAGATTCACCCGTCTGTGACGTCAATCTTTTCTGTCTTCAACTATAAAATTTATATGACCAGGCACGACAAGCCATTCCCGCGGCCTCGCTCACCACGCCAATCAGGGTGCATATTACGATTCCCTTGTCACATCCCCTGTACTGCCTCCACCAAATGGAAGCCATGACTTGCTTCTTGAACAGTGCATAATGTTGGACCTTATGGAAAAGTGTCTTTCCATAGTAGCTGAGCTGCTGATACTAACCATTAAGTTCGGCTCGTGTTCTACAGTGTTGCCTCCAGTGCGAGCTGGTTTGAAAATAGTAAATAATGGCGCAATCAGCGAGCATTAGCTGGCGAACTATTCTTCCTGCGAAACCCTAAAAATTATTTGTATAGTTACAACCACTGAGCGCCAGAAACTTCTTTACTCTTCCACAACTTGTAAAAATATGACACTTTCTATCATTCTGGGTTCTTCAGCTGCAGTACTGTTACGTTCTCTGCTGTCGACGCATAAGCTCTGAATCAGTGGCCATTGCAAGAGCTGCCTGTAATATTAGTCATAGAGAACGCAGTAGCCATGTGCAACCGAAGGCGATGCCGCTGGCGCTCCCCGAATATTGTCCTATCTCCTCCAACTTTTTCTATCTGATTCTCGCTCATACTTTTCTTTAAGTTTCAGGAATAGCAGATACCAGATTAGCGGTGATGTTACTATTGATCGCATTATCAAGTCTATATAAAAGTAGAAATTCATTAAAAGTATGCGAAAATTGCAATTGTATATAAGAGTGTTTTAAGAAATCTAGAACAATCTACTAACATTTTGTTGCACACACTTACCGGGCTTACTTTGAGATGACTCCTCTGTTCAAGGTGTACTTGGTAGATTCCCATTGTAGCGACGCAACCGTGCAAGTATTTTTTCGTGCGCGGCATTCGCACCAGGGCTTCACTGGAGTCTTTCTTATAACTTCATTGTGGAAAGTCTGCAGTATGTCAAGGCAACTAATAGGGGAATGTGTATATCCCACGCTACATCCCTAAAATCATATTCCGAAGCGATTCCACGACAAGTAAACGTATCGTGCTCATTTTCAGGCTGCCTACTGGTACTGTGCCAACTTCGGCTTCGAACCATTCGCCTACCGTGGATTAGAAACAGGCAGCCGTCAAGTTGCTCAACATGCTATCAAGCAAAACAAAGTACGTTACTCTAGGAACTTTTCAACAGTTCTTTCCGTGCCTGAGAAAAAATTGCTTCAGATAATCTTCGTCTTTGAATCGGCACTTCTTCCCAATAATAAGGAAATTGGTGATCATTTGGTGCGTCATGGTGATGGCGTCAAAGACGTCTGCTTCGAGGTTTGTCTTCTTTGATCAATACTGGGAGAAAACGAGGACCTGATTTGACCCATAGGGTTGGCGTTCTGGTCTCGGAATACAATGTAAATCAGATCAAGCCGAAGTCTCCTGAATATTAATGAAGGGGGAAAGGGCGTACTCGCACCCAAATACGTTCCCATTTGCTTACAGAGAAGCTTTTTTGGAAATCTGAACAGTCGTGGATTTTCCAGAGGTCTTCTCAGGAGGGCATGATTTTGATCCCAAAGAAGAATGGGGATAACAACAAATTGCTTGTGGTAGGGTAACAAAATACAGTACTCTGTCAGTTTTCCCTCTATTCATCTCGTTGGTGTCACCCAGAAATTGTTCATTTGCTGGTTTGAATTATCCGAATTGGTTTGAACGGGCTCATCATGTCCCCTTGCACTTCTACTGTGCGAATCAGTACAGCGAATGTGTCTAAAAGTGAAAGTAGACCGCCTTGGCCTCCGGACATCACCATTTTTGCGCTTTTGAACAGATCAGTCTACTTCAGGTTGATGACGTCACCTCCATAGTTGCACACGCAAAAAAGGCCAATGCGAAAGTGGTCAAAGACGTGACAGAAGAATCTGATGAATTTGGATTCGATCAAGTACGCTGTGCTACAAACGGTACGATTTTACTCTCTGTAGAGTGGCTGTAACGTAAACGTGAGTGATTTCAGTACGGTGAGACCGTGCACACCTTAATTGAACGGAAGAATTATCGAGGATGCTTCCTGCCTGGGCTTCAACCCACACCCACAGGACAAAACCTTTTTCCAGTCCCTTCCGAGGGTTAGTTTTGATTGCAATAGCGTTGTCTTCTGTTGAAGAAAAAATGTCGCGTGTTCAGGTTGGTCTGAATTTCATTGATCATTGCGTTGGCAATCAGCCAGATCTCCAAATGAACTCTGCTGTCGAATGGTACGAAAAGGCGCTGTGTTTCCATCGGTTCGTTGCTTCATGAGTGAAATTGCATAGAAATTGAGCTCAAATGTAGACATTAGACTTCCAATCCGTGTCCTAGTTGCGCCCAAAGCAGTTGCAGGCCGGGCAGGCTCCTTGCTACTTGTTCTCTCCACGCAATCTTACCGTCGTGGCATCAATCAGTGAGGGTTTTGCCTTGATTGACTGTCGCGTCCACGCCTTCTTTTGGGGCTTCTACATGGTCGCTTTCCCTGTATTCAAAGTCTCAGCGCTTCCCTAATGTGTGCGCGCAATTGCAAATGAGGGGGCTACTGACGGTGCTGAATCGACCTTCGCCTTGAAGGCAGAGCTAAGTTTGACTCGGTAGCGCCCCAACGTAGCTCAGCGAAAATGTCTTAGGGAGACTGCCAATTTCTCTTACAAATTGGTTGACGTCGGACTAACAAACTGGTAATAACGACTGATATGGACGATATGATGGCGTCTTATCTGATTCTAGAATAGCAAAAAAGAACAGCTCACTTCTTGGCGCCTTTGCCAAATGCAGCCGCGCTGACACGCCCCGTCATTCGCAGCGGAACAAGATAATAAGTGTTTATTTGGCTTGTTGAACGTATGGAGAGCAGTCCTAGACTTTTCGGAGGCCATCTCATTTCTTTATCCTCCAGACAAAACTAGGACAGCAGGCTTCGTGTGACTGAGTGGTAAGGGGACAAAAAAGTGAGACGGCGTTTCTTGCCTCATAGCCACCTTGATAACCTTTCTGTGCCTTGTACAGGGTGGAAGTGGGATTATTGAGGTATTTCAGATTTTGGTCTGTTGATGACTCAATGATCCATACTGAATATTCGGCTTTGCGATCCATCGTCGTCACCAACTACGAGGAAACAATCAAAATGCCAATCAACGAGCCTGCTATGGGCAAGAAAGCCGTATCCCAAATTCAGGTGAGCTAGCGGAAGGCTTGGTCCTCGTCTGAGCAATCAATTTAGAAGATTTTTAGGAATATGTTGACTATTATGGAGGTGCTGGTGTACAGCATATTGCGCTGAACACGAGCAACATCATCCCAGCAATCGAGGCGCTTCGAGCTCGAGGAGTCGAATTTCTCACCATCCCCAAATCCTACTACGAGAATTTGAGACGTCGTCTCAATGACAGCAAGACCAAAGTCAGTTTAATTGGGAAGCTTTGTAACGGGGTATCAGCCGTTGGTTAATGCGAGACATTCCAGGTGGCTGAGGACATGGACCGTTTGCAAAAACTGCACATTCTTGTCGATTTTGACGAGAACGGGTACCTTTTACAAATATTTACCAAGCCATGCGAGGACAGGCCGACACTCTTCATTGAAATCATTCAACGGCATAACCATCAGGTACAGGGCTTTACTGAAGATTCACTTAATTTTTTCGTTTGCTATTGAAGAGGCGTTGTGCACTCACCTTTCGGACCAGGTTCTTGCTATGTGTGGGGTAGATAGGACTCTAGCTTC